TGGGTTGTGCTGGAGTTTGTTCTCATTTGGTTCCCCTAGTGGTGCCTCAATACAAACATTTGCCATTGAAAGCACTGTTTGGAAAGCTCCCCACTGCTTATCCAGCTAGGACCATCCTAGCCATCAGGGATTTGACTTGCAGGCTTAACGGACTTAACAAAATATACAGTCACATACTTTAAAGTATGTCCTTTGAGATGTCTCGATGATGTGATAAGGCACTATAACAAATGCAAGGATTATTATTATTATTTGTATTATCTGACCTCTTCTCATTGGTATCCCCTGGTGATGCAGGTGGTTAAGGTGAAACTAGGAGCTCAGTGTGTGTGCAGTCCACAGCTGAAGCTGCTGTTCCCAGCACTGTCTGTGGCACTTATTCTGCCTCATTCCGTACATTTTCAAAACTGGATTACATAAAGAGTTTCAACATTGGCTTCATTGACAGCGGACAGACGAACTCCATCCTGGGCTTCAGGAAGCGTTTACTTCTGAGATCAGTGTGTGCTTAGATGGTGACAGGCTCCCTGATCACACCTCCGGCTTCAGGAAGTTCCATCTTGGGTGAAAGGGACATGACACGTGTTCAGCAGAACATCTGTCAATCCCCCTTCCCTCCCCATCCTCCATATGCAGCCCTTCAAAAGCCCCTGTGCCTCCTGTGAGCTGACAAAACCCATGCAAGCTGTCACGCATCAAGAGTTTGTCATTGACCGCAAGTCAGGACTGTTTGTTTTACCCATCATCTTACCAGCAAGCAAGCTCTGCTTCTTCATTACCACTAGCGACATGCAGCTGTACAACACCATTCACTTGGGATAGCATCTCGGAGCACTTCATGACATTGAGCAAGAGAGAGAGAAGGGAGTGGTGACTACAGAGGCTCTACCCTGGGATCCCTTGATTTAAGGGGATCTCAGTAGAGCCTGGAGATCACCCACTTGTGGTGGTTGAGCCCAGTTGTGTTTAATAGAATAATTGTGTGCTGTAAACTGAAATGGTCTGAATTGGAATTGTATAGCTGTCAGCCTGGCTCAGTTGGTAGCTCTCTTGCCTCTGAGCTAGAAGTTTGTGGGCTCACAATCTAAGCTGAGGCTCCAATGCTGAGAGTATAATTGTAACAAAGAAAGCGTAATCATTGATGGAGGGGCCGTCCTTTAGATGCTCCTTTAGAAGGGACCAACGTGATAAATTTACTCATTCACTTCATGGCTGTTTGAAGGATATTGCTGTGCACACATATTGGCTGCCACATTCGCCTACAAGATACATCCTCACTTCACAATGAATCCCATGAAACACATTGACACTTTCTCCCGACGTGAAACGCGCTATATCAAATGCAGGGATCATTTATCTATTTATCCATAGATAATAACATTGGCCAATTCTAAGCTCCCCATTGATCAGGTTAGTCCCACCGTCATAGGATAAACTGAATCTTTTTCTTATTTAGTAACTGTTTCACATTGTACATGAATGTGACCTGACTATTGATGAGGAAATGGATGGGAAATCAATAAGGTACTGGACTGTCACAACAGAGATTAATGAAGGGAACTTGTATGGGAATAAGCAGCATCCGCTCAGCTGAAGACTTTTTTTTAATCAAGATCCATCCTCCTTCCAGTTTCTCGAGACCTGAATATACGTGCTTCAGCCCAGAGAGGGGATTATTAGGTTGGACTGATATTGGCAGTGTGAGGCAGCAAGTAAATATGTAATGCTATCTGACAGGCAGTAAACCCAAATTATTGACAAATATCCACCTGCTTTGTGTCCGCTTGTTCTGTCAATTCAGCAAGGCTGAATTAACTGAGCAGAGGGGGGTGGGTGGAGGAGAAGATGAGTTGCTGAATCAAATGCAAAGAACACTATTATGAACAAAGTATATTAGTGAAACTTGACACACGCACAAAACTCAGCTTGACTTTGTGGTGAATGATTGCTCAGTACAATTTCTAAATTTTATAAGTTATAAATCAATCTGATGTTAAACCAGAAGAATTGAATACACGAGGGACAAGGAATAATGGGGAATGGGAGAGGCAATAAGGAGGTGGGGAGTATAACCAACAGGGTGGACTTAATTGGGCTAAATGGCCTTAATTGGGCTAAATGGCCTGTTTCCGTGCTGTACAATCTACATTTACAACCTGATGTAAAAATTAACATGAATATTTAAATCCCGCGAACTGAACAGCTAATCTGTTGCAGTTACGTTTATCCAGAGAATAACTTCTATTTCACACAATGTTTGTGTGCTACTTTGAAGGAATGTCTGTATTTAGCACTTTTTTCCCCCCTCAATTGCTTGTATTTTAAGCAGGAATCTGTGCTGTTATTATCTCTTGACTTCTTAAAAAGAGCAGCAGGAATGCAACCTTTCCGATTGACACTGTTTCAATAGCATCTTGACGCCTCTCGAAAATGCTTTTATTAACTACCCTTTGCAGTCCGTCGAGTGAGAGACGAATACCTTTCCCAAAGATAACAATAATTAGCCCTGTGGTTAGGGTGAGGGACTGAGTTAGCTGAGCAGAGGGCAGTGAGCAGAGGACTGGGGGACACCAAGTTAACAACAATAAATTGCTTTTATATAGCGCCCTTCGCCCACAAATATACAGTCAATTCACTTTACAGTGTGTTCTGTGAAGCGCTTTGGGACGTCCTCCCGACGTGAAAAGCGCTATATCAAATGCAAGGATTATTATTATTATTATTATTCACATAGGAGTGCTTTATAATTATGGGGTATGAGCAGGAGGAAGGGGGGTGCACATAGATGTGGTCTAAGAGCTGGGCTTGAAAACAGATAGATTGGGGGTGAGCTGGAGGTGTAGAAGACGGCAGTTCCAGAGGTTAAATGGATAGAATCTGAAAGAACACAGTTCTTTTTAAAAAGAATTAACACCGAAAGGTTTCTGTGCAGAAGGAGAAGCCTGTGTATTTTGCAAATACACAGTCACTACACTGTACAGTAAAACCCTGTTAGGCGCTTGTGAAGGGCAGGGAATTTCTCTCTCCTGGTGTCCTGGCCGACAATCCCCCTGATAAAATCAGCCATTCGCCTCCTGGTTTGCGGGACACTGCTGCGTGCAAATCGGCTGCCGTGTTAGCCCACAAAGCACGCACAGCCACTCCTTGACAGTAAATCCTGTTGATGCGCTTTAAGACGTTCTCCCAATGTGAAAGGCGTTAAATCAAACCCGAGATTTAATATTATTCTAATCTGAGACGTCCCCTCGTCATTGCTTTGACATTCTTCCTGTAACGGGAACCCCGAAAGTGACAGAAAACTGTTGTCATGCTATTAAACGATAGCTGTCTCCATTGTTCGGAGTGTGAGAGATCTGAGAGATCTGAGCAAGAAAAGTCCGCGGGTGTTTGCTTAAAATCGTTATAGCTGCTCAGCAGCTCGTGGAGCTGAACCTTTACCCCAAAGCGAATTCATGAATGTTTTAATAGTGTTGACCTGGTAAAAGCTGATAATCCCAGACACAGGGAAAGAAGAAGAGTGTTCCAGAATTTCGAGGTGCAGTGGTTGAAAAGTGCAGTCACCGATGGTGGAACGGAGGGCACGAGGGACATGCAGGAGGCCAGAGCCAGTCGAGCGGAGGCAGCGGGTAGTGGGTTAGGGAATAAACAGGTCGGAGAGGTAGAGAGGTGCCAGGGAGCTGCACATCAAAGGTCGGTAATTTCTATGAGCTAGGGATTAACTTCAGTTGCATGTTACGATAAAGGGATCCCAAGAATCTGGATATCCATCAAACCAAAATCATAAACAAGGCTCCATCAAAATGGAACGCTAGAATGGAACGGGCCGCAGATTAAAAATATGCAAATTTCTATTTTTTTTGTTCGATTAAGCTGAAAAAGAGAAGACTGTTGGAGCTCTAACTAGCAAAGCGAGAGTGTGAAGCAAAGATAAAGAAGTGAATCCACGCAGAATTTCCTTATCAGTGACTATATTACACAAATCACCATTGCAAGAGTCAGACTGCGTGATCTGTGGGGAGTGATTGCATCTGTCTGAATGTCCAATGACACATTCGAGCAATGCTGCAAGTCACGCATTACACCGTAAAATCTAAATTGAATCCATTGTAAAGACGGCAAAATTAAAAAAAGGGCTTAATCATATCAAACGCGACCGAGAGAGGATTACAATTCTGTAGGTCAACAGTCCCAGAACCTCATTCTCCGCTAGATGGATTACACCTTGAAATTAACCCAAATGCCTCAAACGATAAGCTAAAAGATCAGATTTTTTTGCCAATTAGACAGACTGGAAGTTGTTTAATTTCTTTCATTAACATGCAAATTGCAGTTCAACAATAACCGCAACAGTAACTTACATTTACATCAAGGTTTCGGAGTCAAAGGGCATTTTGAAGCGTTTTGCAAATTTGTTGAGAGACAGTGCGTAGCGAAGATTTAAAGATCTTAACCAAAGGCACCACATGTTGAAGAAATGAGTTGTTAGGAGACTTTCGAAGGCAGTGAGAGAGGCATCAAGGCAAAGTGGCTTTGGAAAGGAGTTCCTGAGGTCAGGGATCATGGAACTGAAAGATCAGTCACTAATGGAAGAGTTGGAAAAGGTTGCACGTTTAGGTTGGGATGAGACCTTTGTGTGGAGTTGAAGGACAAGGATCCTCTGATTTATGAACTCGTCCTGAAGGTTTGCTATTTTGATGCTAAAACCATTTTGATTCTGCGAGCTGTTGGGATGTGCAATGCCCTGCCACGTAAAGTGGTAGAGGCAGAGTCCATAGTGGATTTCAAGGGGAACGTAGATGGGTGTATGAAAGATAGAGGCTTGAAGGGTTATGGAGGTAGGGCAGGGCATTGGGAGTGCAGCCAATGCAGACTCGATGGGCAATTGGTCTCCTCCTGTACTATAAATATCCTACTCCACAGCAGGATGCACCTTGGTATCTGACTGTGCTAATGGTACGTTGCTTGAAATGCCGATAAGGATAAAGAACAGGAGCAAGAGGCGTCCTGTAGCTCAGTGGTTAGAGCTCTCGCCTCATTAAGGGAGAGACCTGGGTTCGATTCCCTGCAGGGCGAAATCTCGGGCAAGTTTCCTTAATCCACACGCCTTATAATAATCCCTCAAGAAATAAAAGCAATAATAAGTTGGTCATTTTCAATTCACGACTGTTTGTGGGACGCTGCTGTACGCAATTGGCTGCCGCATTTCGCCCACAAATATACAGTGAATTAACTTTACAGTATAATCTGTGAAGCACTTTGAGACGTCGAGAAGAGACGTATATCAAATGTAAGGATTATTGTTTTATTTTAAAAACAATTATATGGGCATTAGCATGTTTCAGCTGCAGTCAGTTAAGAAGTGAATGATTGTACCATTCGGAATAGACAACCATTTCGTCAATGCAATTACTCCAAGAAAGCTGTCTTCTTTATTAACCATTTAAGTGCTGCAATTTCTGGATAAAAATTCCAAAAATCCTTGCACCAAGTTACTGCTTATAAAACTGACGTCCTCCGAATGACATCAAAATTATATATTTTTCGGTCAGTCAACACTTGTTAATAGTAATAACATTATAATTCCAAGTTAGTATAATTTTAAGAATAATTCAATTCATTTTTACATGAGTAACTTTTGAACGAAAAGCAATGTTCTTAATCGCACTTTTGTGTTCAATAAATCCCGGGAGAGCTTCGCAAATTGCATTCGGAAATATTAAATATTTAGTGATGTGTAACGAACAGTGGTATATTTTACAGATAATATACTCAGTGCGGTAATGTGTTTAGATGTGATGCAGTGTGAAGAAATACTGACAAAAGAGTTTCAGTTTGGGGGCTGTTTTAGCAATCATTTGGTTTAAGCCATAGGCCTGAGATTCCACCTTGCTTTATAGAAAATAAAAATATTTTGTCTAAAAATTTTAAATCATGGAAAATTCTTCAATTTCTAATAATCCTTGCAGTTTGACATTATGCCTTACACATCAGGAGGCTTAAAGCACTTCACCAGATACAATACAATGCAAATTTACATTTTTATAGTGCCTTTCACCTATAGAGGACTTCCAAAGGTGTTTAAAATACGGCATATTAAGCATTCCAAGATGCTTCCTCAGTGAAGGCACTATATAAATGCAAGTTGTTGTTATTGTTATTGTTATATACTGTAACGACGTAGTGACTGTGTAGCTTGTGGGGATGAATGCAGCAGCCAATTTTCGCACAGCAATGACCCACCTTTCAAGACCAAAAGGTTTTTGGAAAATTGTCAGGTAAATGGGACTGAATGGATTGCTCTTGTAAAGAGTCAACACAGACACAACGAGACAAATAGCCTTCCTTCTGTGCTGTAGATTCTATGAGTGTAATTGATGGTGAGCTGATGGGGGATGGTGAAAGGCCAGTGATGGTTTTAAAGTTAGGAAGGTTAAAATGAGATAGAAAATGTAAAAGAATAAAGTTAAAATAAATACTGGGGACAACGGGGAAAAAAGGAATGGGAAGGCAAGGCAAAGGAGAGGAACAAGGATGATCCCCATTGTTAAAGGAATAAGCTATTGATCAATGATCAGATAAGGCAGATTCAGCCGTGAAAGGAAACATCTCAGAGGGGTCCTTATATCGGTTCTGTGTAGGCGTTTTCTCAGATAGGATTCAGATAGTAAAAGGCAGAACAAGGCTGGGGAACGAGGTGTGCTAACTGCAACAATCGGTGCCAATCAGAAACCCAACCTACTGGATTCCAATGGAGCAAACTTGGGATCTCTTCATCTTCTCCTTTGTTTTTGAACAATGCACTCAAAGCTGCCGCCAGATCAAACAGCAGAGGAACGGAGAGCGGGCGGTAGTTAGTTGGGTTATGTTGCGCAGTAAAATCCTGTGAAGAGCTTTGAGACTGCTCGACGACGTGACCTCTCGAATCCTTATATCAAACGTAAGGATTATGTGTATTATTATTCAAAACAAAGACTGCCACCTTTTAGGGTCGACGCAAAGGATTCTCGTCACCTTTGTCTGCTTCTGCACCTGTTAATCTATCTCCACTGAGTTGGACTGTGACTCTGACTCTCTCTCTCCCTCACAAGGTACTATAGAGTTCAAGCATTGAATGTTCCTCTTGCTTGTGCACCTCCTGGTTCATTTTCTGTCCTCTAGACAAGCACTTAGCCAAGCAGAGCATGCCAGTGACAGGCAGCAATAATTTATAGACACACAGGGACATGCCGCTACTTTGTCAAAGATATTTAGCTTCTTTCCATTACACGTTTGAGTGTGTTTTTAAAACGGCTTTCTTCAGTTCCAGCTTTGGAATAAACACAGACAAAAAATACCAAACAACTGCACTTGACTTTAAACACAGAACGAGATGGAAGGGAAACCTGAAGCTGTCTTAAAAATAAATCGAGCTTGCACAATGACAACAGAGCAATGTATATGAAACACCAGGATTTTATACAATCTTAATCTCTATCAAGTGATCTCAGTCACCCCACTACTTGGTTATTGCATGGTAGTAATATTTCAGTAATGGTCCAAGCTGGATAAGCAGTAGAAAAGCTTCCCAGACATTGGCTTCAATGGCAAGCTATGTGATTTTAACTGCTTATACTCAATAATTAGTCCAACACACACTCCGAGGTCCCTAAACATTGGCTCTTGCAAGCCTCCACCAAATACTCTTCCAAAATAAGGTAAAGTAGGATGTGTCCCTCCAGGGAGAGAATGCGCATTCCATTCCAGGCACAGGAATTTCTATGCATAGGTAAGGTATATGGAACTCTCAATTTGGTTTGGATATTCTTAAGCATGTTGATGGGTTTCTGACATCTGGATGACCAAAAAACAGGTACTGATCGCACAAAGATGGCAGTTTCTCCCAATGTCCTGGGCCAACAATTTTCTAAATAAAATTGGTCATTCACTCCACACTGTTTGTAGGATGTTGCTATATGCAAATTGGTTGTTGCATTCACCTTCAAATACACAGTCACTACACTTTACAGTGAAATTCAGTGAAGCGATTCGAGACATATTGATGGGATGATAAGGCACCACATCTAATTATTGTTATTATTATTATTTGAACCACATTAGCATGGCAAATGAAATACAGCGATTGTACCTCTTTAACAGATTGATAATGCACCAAGGTCTGGTTCAATGAAAAGCCAATTTCTCACTCGTATCACCATTAGTATCACTGTTTGTATCTGTCCAAAGTGATTGTTTCCGCCTCAGAATTCAACCAAACATTGGGGAATACAATGAGTTATTCTTGTTATCTGGACTTTGGAAAGGTCAACCAGTCCCTGCAGTCAGTCCTCTGGGGAACATCAGCCCAGCAAAGCATGAGCAACAAATCTCTTCTCCTGTCTGAGTGGGCAAATGTTTCCACTCTCTTTAGAATTAGCTGCCATTAAAACACAAGGTGGCAAGTGGGAGATGGGGGAGGTGGGGTATTATCATTGAGAAGATGTCAGCTGCTTATTTTGATGGTTATAATAATAATAATATTCCTTACATTTGATTCAGCGCCTTTCGTGTCAGGAGGATGTCCCAAAGTGCTTCACGGGATATACTGTAAAGTGCAGTGACTGTTTATTTTGTGGGCGAACAAAAAATTGCACAAGAGTCCCACAAACAGCCATGGAGTAAATGAACAATTTTATTTGGGAGACTGTTGGCCAGAACCTCTTTTCTCTCTAATTGGCACAGGAATTTCTACGCGTAGGTAAGGTGCGTGGAACTCTCAATTTGGTTTGGATATTCTTAAGCATGTTGATGGGTTTCTGACATCTGGATGACCAAAAAAACAGTTACTGATCCAACAAAGAAGGCAGTTTGCATCCTTGAGTCCTGAAGCGCTAAACTGTGGAAAAAAAATGTTTTTTTCCACCTGATGATGTTAAACACAGATGAATGCATTTCATGTTCAGAAACCAGAAGCCATGATGGAAGGGTTTTGAAGAGAGAGTGGGCAGATGGAGAGGGTGGGAGAACAGCTGACACTAGTTTAACTAGTCAGCCTTGGTTCCTTTGCATTCGCTCCGAGCGATGTCTTCGTATTGTCACATTTGGCGATACGATGGGAGAAGAAGCCCTCTCCATTATACCAGGTTTCAGATCATTTTGATGCAGCTCTGCACTTTAAGTGATAGCTGGAAATTGAACAATGTGAACGTCACATCAGAAATTATGAGATAAACATCATTTTCTAACACAACTGAGATTTAACACGAGCATGTATTATTCATTGCACAGTGCAGCCTTGTCCGGTTATCTATCAAGAGCAGTTTTGCCACTATGAAATTAAACTCTCGCAGGTATTTTGCACAGGTGTGAATGAACCACTCTGATGCTGGATTGAAAGCATTGAAGGGTTCAGTATGGAGACACCCAATGGGTATATTTATTACCAGTGGATAATAAAAATCATAATGCTTCTCATAATGCTTCACTGTAAAGTCCAATGACTGTGTATTTTGTAAGTAATCGCAGTAATCAATTTGCATGTAGCAAAGCCCCACAAACAGCCATGAAGTGAATGTCCAATTTTATTTGGGGGATTGTTAGCGAGGACCTCGGAGGAAATTCCTCTCTTTTTTCGAATAGTATCTTGGGATCTTTAACATCCACGTGAAGGCAGACAGAACCTCGGTTTAACGTCTCACCTAAAAGATATCACCTCCAATGATGCAGCACATCCCTTCCAGGACTGCACTGGAGCATCAGTCTGGACTATGTGAGTTCAAAGTCCCAATATGGGGCTTGAACGAATAACTTTCTGATTTGGAGGAGAGAGTGCAACTAACTGAGCCAGGCTGACAATTTAACCCAATCAATGACTTTACTTTTGTACTTTAGACAGCTTTAATGTACGCACGATGGCAGCCAATTAAAGGTACCAATGGCCGATATCCAGGCAAAGTATTTGCATCTGTTTGGCGCTGGCATCCTCAGTACTTTGGGACTTTTCGTCTTTGGAGAATAGATTTTTGTCAGAAGGTTTAAGGCTTTAAGTGTTCACATATCTCATTCTGTCTTTGAGCAAACATTATTCATATTTATGT